TTTAATTGAAAAGAAATGTTAAAGATGTTAAGATTTTAATGAATATTAATGATAGAATTGAATTGGAATGGAATGTGTGTTTTATTTACATATATATATAAAATCTTTTCTTCTAAGAATATAGTGTGTATTTTAAGAATGTACCAAGCAGAATTCGATTGGAAGTTATGTATTATATTGAATGCTATAATTTTAAAGGTATACATTGAAGCTTAAATAAGAGTTTGAATGGATAAAATTAAAAGATATAAAGGTGTCATTCTCCAATTGGTAACTACAGGGAAAAACTTGTTTAATGAGAAAAGATAATATGAAATTGAAACAGGACAGACAAAAGTATAAATATAATGATTTGAATTGAGATGAGATAATTAAAATAAAGTTGAGAAAATTAAAAGAGGGGGAAAACTATGTAGAAAATATAAAACAGTAATAAGATATGGAATAGAATATAAAAATGAACATGAAATTGAGTTTTGTGTCTGTATGAAGAAATGATAACCTGGGACCATGCTATTTTCAAAAAAAAGATGTTTTATTTGTATTTTGTTTTTGTGAAAACCCAAATAATTTTTTTTTTAAAAAATCCTTTTTTAGTGAGCACCTAGAAGCCAAGAGGCACATATGTGCCAAATTTCAAGTTTGTAGGCTTTACAGTTCTGGAGATTTTGTGATGATACATCAGTGGTATTTCGCTTTTTTTTATATATATATATATGATACCAGGCTGTGTAAAAACAAATGAGGTTCATTCTTTTCAGGAATAAGAATCATTTGGTATTTTCATATGTTATTTATAAGAGCCAGTTTGGTCTTTATGGTTAAAGCGCCAGGCTAGAAATCAGAGAGACTGTGAGTTCAAGTCGTGCCTTCGCCATGCCAGCCAACTGGGTGACTTTGGGCCAGTCACACTCTCTCTCTCTCAGGCCAGTCCACCCACAGGGTTGCTGTGGGGAGAACAGGAGAAGGAAAGTGTAATGGATATGTTTGCCACCTTGAGTTATTTGTAAAAATAATAAAGGCGGGATACAAATCAATAAAATAAAATGAATAAATTTGTGGAAAGAAAAATAAAAGAGGCCATTGACTTGCTAAGGGGTGATCCCTTTGAAACTAAGAGTTATTTATGTTGCTTGCAATGTTTTTCCAGAGCTGACAAATCAGACAGTCACATTCTGATCTATACTGACTAAAGTCTGGGATTATATAGCGAGGAATACTGACTTAAATAATATACATCTGAGATCATCAGTGCTCCTAGCAGAAAGGCAGTGTGGTGTTTTCGGGCAGAGAAATTTGGAGTTTAGACATTATAATTGTTCTGGATGCAGTGTTTCATATAAGATCAATGCAGTGCATGATTGCAGCTGTTTCAGTAGCTTCAAATTAGAGTTCTGGGGTTCATCAGTTCTATAATTTAAACCAAAAAATAAGTTGGTCCCTTTTCAATCTTATGCTAATTCTTTTGAGTTCCTGCTTAATAACATCAACAGTCAAAGAGTGTTGATGTTATTCCATTTCTACTCTTAGTTCATATAATCAGTCAGTAGTAGATACACTACTTGTATACGCAGTCAAGGTAGGAAATATACATTATCGTTATTCTTTAACCAAATTACTCTCCCCTCCGTTGTCAATTAAAATTATATATTTTGTTAGGACAAGATACTGCAGTCCTGGCAAACTGTTAATACAAGAAGTTATAATTTATAAAGATCCTTAATAAGAGAAGTTTGTTGCTCTCCTGGAATCAGGAAAAATCCTTATGCTTATCTTCTTATGGTTCCATGAAGTTATTAAGCTCTTATACAGGTAATCCTTGCCTTACAACAGTTCATTTAGTGACTGTTCAAAGTTACAATGGCTCTGAAAAAAGTGACAGGACCATTTTTCACACTTACAACCATTGCAGCATCCCCATAGTCATGTGACCAAAATTCAGACACTTGACTCATAATCATGATAGTTGCAGTGTCCAGTGTCCATAATCATGATAGTTGCAGTGCCCGGGGTCATGTGATCACATTATGATCACTTCCTTGCAACCAAAGTCACTGGGGAAGCCAGATTCACTTAACAACCATGATACTAACATCACAACTGCAATGAAACACTTAAGAACTGTGGCAAGCAAGATTGTAAAATGGTGCAGGTTCACTTAACAAATGTCTCACTTAGCAACAGAAATGTTGGGCTCAGTTGTGGTCATAAGCTGAGGACTACCTATTTTAAAGCATCATATGAAACCATATGCAATGTATGAAAGGCACATTCATCTTCAAGTAGATAACATTCTGACACTTGGTCATAACTGGGAACTTCTTATGGATTTTTGATGTAAAAATTTTAAAAAATGAGCTTGTGATTTATGGCTCTGATGATTAGGCAGGGTGGATTATCGAAAGAGTATTATGATGTAACTTGAAAGAGAGGTTAAAATATAACAGTATTTATAAACTGCTGTGAAGAATATCAAAAGCCACATCTTTGTATCTTATTTCTTTCTTTTCTCGTTATTTTTTCTATTCTTGTATTTTTTGCTTTCTCTCTGCTTTCTTTCTTTGCCTTTCTCTTGTTTTTAATCTGTCTTTGATTATCTGTTATCTGTTAAGCACCAGTCAAAGCACAAGGTCAGCAAAGGGAATGTGGAGATGGGAAAGATGCCAAGGCAAAGTCTGCTTCTAAAACAACCTGAGAACTTTTAATTGGACATTGACTGATAACAGGGGGATGGATGTCCAGGAAAAGTGAACTGCATCGTTTTTGTGCCAAGCCAAAAGATCGTGCCTGCTCTAATCTGTAACCATTTATTTCTCAATAAAATATAATATTGGAAAAAGAAATGAACCAGGAGTCTTTCTTCGCTAATTAAATTAAGTGGGATGGGTGACAGAAAGGCAAGAAGTTTGGGGATGACCAAAACCAGTGCAAAGGTTAAAGAGAAAGGGATAAGCAAGAAAAGGTGCATAGTTTGGACAGAACAGTGGGCAGACATGAAAGAATCAAGATTAAATCATAGAAAAGGTGAGATAAAAAGTTTCCAAGTAGCTAGGGAAGATTTTGTAGAATGCATTCTACACTAAAGGGGCAGAAACATGGGAGATATTAATTGAACTTTCAAATATATATTAACTGAAGATTTTTGACTGTGTAATACACATGAACACCCTTTATAGGCTGAAGCAATCTTTGCACAAGTGGAATGTGATTGCGCAACTGCAGTTTATTTGCTCTTCATTTGCTTTCCTCAATATATTTTCCATCTTAGTTGCACCATTGGGGAGAAGGTTTCGGTTGAACTGTTCTTTTATTTGCCCAGATCTTGTGGTCTGTTAAAATGTGTTTTTTTTTTTCTTCCACTATGGGCAGATATGGGAATCTTCACTCAAATAAAATTTTCCACCAAATTTAGGATGATATATAATATTTGTAGGTAATTTCTCTTAGAAGTACAAGACTGATATCTTATTCTGGTTTCTTCACCTGCTGTTTCTGACAGATATAGATGAATGTCTGGTGAACAATGGCGGCTGTGATCACTTCTGCAGAAACACAGTGGGAAGCTTTGAATGCAGTTGCCAAAAGGGCTACAAATTGCTAACAGATGAACGAACCTGCCAAGGTAATTGCTTAAATTAAATCTTAATTCCTTTCTTCTTACATAGTGAGGGCAATGAGTGCCCATCAAAATGTTCCTGGTTTGTTTGTTTTTTTTCTTTTCCTAAGGAGACCTTGAAGACTGGACACAGAGGAAAAAGAAAATGGAAGGAGGTTTTTTTAGAAATCATAAACAAAAGGATAAATTTTACTTGTCCCAAAGGTGCTTTTTCAAAAGGCAATTGGACTTTCTTGGGTTTTTTTTTAAAGACATTTCACTTCTCATCCAAGAAGCTTCATCAGCTCTGACTAGATGCAGGGGAATGGAAGGATTTATACTGCTTGCAGACAGCTGGTCATTTGCATCCTTTTAGAGAGTTGCTCTGGCCGCCTGGAGGTTTATCTGTATCATCAGGTTCACCTGAGTGGTGCAAGTGGTTGGAGCCTTTTTGACAGCACAGATAAAGTTGGGTTGACTGATTTTGTCAACCCAACTTATACATATCTACTCCTGTATACTACTAGGGTTCACATATCTACCAGCTACTGTTCTGAAAATTAAACCAGGACTGAACCAGTAGTGGGATTCAAAAATTTTTACTACCGGTTCTGTGGGCGTGGCTTGGTGGGCGTGGCAGGGGAAGGATACTGTAAAATCTCCAGTCAGAGGTGGTATTTGCCAGTTCTCCAAACTACTCAAAATTTCTGCTACCGGTTCTCCAGAGCTGGTCAGAACCTGTTGAATACCACCTCTGGACTGAACTATTAGTATCACCAATTACCAATAGCCCACACATTGAGGGATTAGTCAAGAAATGAAAATACTATAGAGAGGAGGTGACACTGGCAACTGAAAGCCTTTTCTTTTCATCAAGTGAATAATATTTATGTGTACAGAGCTAAAGATTGTAGTTTTTAACTTTTTTTATAATCTTTAGATGTATACATTTAAAGATACCATGAGGAAGTGATGGATGCTAAATATATGTGATAAAAGAGAAAATGACAAGAATCAATAGACCTAAGACGCTGGGTCTGAAACTTAGCTCCTATTTTAAAACACAGAGAAGCCTATGAGATGACCAAGGATTTTATTTGTCTGATTTGTTTGAAATATCTCTTCATGCAGAAAATATTTCTTTCCTTCTCCAAAAGGGCTTTCGTGCCTAAAATAGGAAAGTGTCATGAAGGTTTTATCATGTTCACTGTATCTAAGATCAGGCAGTTGTTCAAGCAGTCAGATCATCCTGCTAAGACTCCAGAAGGGAGCAAAATGCATGGGAGAGGCCATCCTGAGTTCATTCCCCTTCTTTGTAAGTCATGGAAGTGCCCTTATCTGGCCTTTAGACTTTGGCTAGGAAAAGGCCAAGAAACCTCTAGAAATCTCTGCATATTTGTCATCGTTACAATATGCTGTGATGATGGATGTTATTCTCGCTGTGGGATATATACTTAGCGTTGGCTGATCAAAACTGTACTGTTAGTACCTTACTAGCAGAAACAGGTGATTAATGGTCTTGTCATGATTTCCAGAAGGATAATTGGTGAACAAGGCAGGGAAGGAGGAAAGAAGGAAGGCTGATAGAGATCAAGCAATCAGTAAAGCATAAATCACCATATTTCCTTTCCTGGCAAAATGTGCTATTGTTTGTTTTCAGTAGAAGAAGCAAGAGTGGTTTGAGGTTACTCATCAAGATTTAGTTTATAAGGTTTTTTTTTTACAAGGTTTTTGTTTTTCAAACAGCTAGAGGGAAAACATTTTTCAGTGTTGCTGAAAGACTTGTGCCAAGTTCATTCTGGCTTTTTAATCACCCCAATTAGAATTAGAAAGTTTTAATTAAACTTTCGGAAAATACAATGCATGTTGTTATTTCCTGTGAAGCGCTACTGTTCATTTTAATTCTATTTGATGGAAAATACATTTCTTGAATTTATAACACTCTGTTCCCAGACTCAAAGCACATGGGGTATAGATCTGGTGTAGCTCTTCTGGGATTGGTCCTTAAATATAGAGGACTATTTATTTAAAAGTATGCCACTTCTCAACATCAAACTCTCCCAAGGTAACCTATAAAACAGAACTAACTTTGTGTCATGCCCCTGTCGGAGTCTGAATCTGAGGAGGAAGACGAACAGCTGACAGGAAGTGGGAGTGTGGCTCCGTTGGTTGTGGAGGAAATTGGGGAAGGGCAAAGCCTGGCTGGGCAGAGCAGGAGAGAGCTAGAACAAGTGAGAGGTAGAACAAGTGAGAGAGAGTTCAGAGTAAGACCCAGGCCCACCCACCCCTTCATCCTAGGGCACACAGGGAGGAACGGAGAAAGAGAGCAACGTGGGTTGTGTGGCTTACAGGGGAGGAAAGGGCCCTTATTCCCTTCATTAGCCACACCTGGGAAGAGAGTTTAAAAGAAATGCGTGCTGAGTGTAGTGTCTGCTGGGAACAAATGTGAGCTTATCTTGTGTTGACTTTGGTTATCTGTGTTCCTGGCATCCTCCCAATTGTGTTGAATTACTATCCTTCACGTCTGGAATTCCTTCTCTTGCCCTGCCGGACTAATTACCTCATCTTGCCTTGATTGGACTTACAGTTACAGTTTTTGTTGACCACATTTTGGACTTGATTTTCTGCAACCAAAGGCTGTTCCTGGGAGAGTTTTTCTCCAGCCAGAAGGTAACCAGGACATTGGGGGCAAAGTTGGCGCTAATAAAGGGACTCCTACTGATTTTCTGACTGTGTTGCCTTTGTGCCACACCCCAAGTCATCACACTTTGCATACATTGGAAGACAAACTAATTTCATAGGCATAGCAGTATGATTTGTCTAAATCACTCAAATATTTTAGAAAGTATAATCCAACAGCAATAATTGCATTTTTTCATCCATCTGCAACTGATCTAGTCTGCCATGCTTATTTACCAATATTATTCCTGGTCTTAAGTCTCGCAAATCTTCTGCTCCTCAAACCCTTTTGAAGAAATGAATATTTTGATACATCTGAATAATTTCTTTCTAACAGTAAGAAGACTTTGGAATTATATTTCTTCCTTTCAAGGCTGATTGGATACTTAAGCTTTTTCTCCTACTGGTTAGCTCTATTCACAGATGACTGAAATGGATTTGATCTCCATGACAGCAAACGTAAGAAAAGATACCTTGACAGTTGGTTCTAGTCAACCATTTAACTAAGTTAACAGTCTATTGCAGGGGTCTTCAAACTTGACAGCTTTAAGACTTGTGGACTTCAACTCCCAGAATTCTTCCTCCAGTCATGTTCGCTCAGGAATTCTGGGAGTTGAAGTCCACAAGTCTTGAGCTTGCCAAGTTTGAAGAGCTTTGGTCTAGTGGGTGATTCAGAGTGGTACAGACTAATTTAAGTCTAACAACTTTTTTTCATCCTGACTTTTGAATGAGAGATGAGAAATAGTTAACAATTCAGCAGAGAGAAGACTCCACTTCTCACTAGAAAATATTTTAAATTTTATTTTTATTACAAGGCTAATGAATTATTCATCCTGGAACTTTCAATCAAAAATTATGATCTTCATTTCTTCTAGTCGTATGTGAAAATATTTTGAGATCATATGAGAAAATACATCTGTATGAGGATGTAGAATTTGGCAGAAAGAAGAATTACTGGACATACCTCTTTCACTTAGGTGGAAATGTGATGAAGACTATCAGATGGTTGTAGTCTTCTCAAGCCAAGGAGAGGGGTATCCAATGTGTGGCACTCAAAAGATTGCACAGGATGTTTTTACAAAAATAGGGGAGAAGGCTTACATCCAAACACAAAAAGATGTTGAAAACTCATTTTATTTAAACTCATCCTCTTTTTGGAACAAAAATTTTAGTGGCTGGATTTGGAGTATCTCTACTATGTTCCAGACCACTGAAACTCCAGGTTCAAGATAAAGTTTGAAACGTTTCTGGCAACAGAAGATTGTGAATTCTAATATGTGAAAGAAGGATTCCAAAAGGATATAAGGCATTCTTCTCATCTTAGTTATCTTTAAGAATATACGACAACAATAACTTTTCATAACATAAGTGATTTGTATTAATTTTATAGTCATAAATCCACACAGCCATGAATTCAACTTCACATGAAGGAAGATCAAGGGAAGTACTAATGCCACTCTATAAAGCCTTAGTAAGACCACACCTAGAGTACTGCATCCAGTTTTGGTCACCACATTATTAAAAATATGTTGAGACTCTAGAAAAAGTACAGAGAAGAACAACCAGAATGATTAGGGGACTGGAGGCTAAAACATACAACGAACGGTTGCAGGAACTGGGCTTGGCTAGTCTAGTAAAGAGAAGGACCAGGGGAGACATGATAGCGGTCTTCCAATATTTGAGGGGCTGCTACAGGGAGGAAGGGGTCAAGCTATTTTCTAAAGCGCCTGTAGGCTAGACAAGGAATAATGGATGGAAATTGAACAAGGAGAGATTTAACCTGGAAATAAGGAGAAACTTTCTGACAGTGAGAACAATCAACCCATGGAACAGATTGCCCTCGGAAGTTGTGGGAGCGCTATCACTTGAGACTTTCAAGAAGAGATTGGACTGCCATTTGTCAGAAATGGTGTAGGGTCTCCCGCTTGGGCGGGGGGTTGGACTAGATGACCTACAAGATCCCTTCCAACTCTGATTATCTGTTATCTGTTAAGATTGAGGCAGAAAATGGTGACATGTGTGCAGTCGCCATGCTTCTCCCTGATTTCTCAGTATTTTGATTTTAAGTTATTCAAACAAGCCAATTCTGCTAGCAAGTTCTATCATTGCTGATAAAGAGAGCAGAGATAGTTTAGTCCTCATAAGAAAGATTTTCATTAGAGAGAAAGATGAGGCTGAAGATGAGTTGGCTTTGGCGGGGGGGGGGGGAGTTTCTTAAGAAATCATCAGAAACTGAGAAGAAGGAAGGAGAACTGGAATGTAATGGTTGCAACTAAAATGGACTTAAATAGCTTTGAGTGTTTAAAGATCTTATGGTTTTAATTTAAAAAAGCAGAGTGGCCTGGAGG